CTTCGTGGGAGCGGCGCGCCCCCCCCCTCGGTTGGGCGCCCTGGCGAGAGCCTCGCCTGCAGTCCTCTGGCTCTTTTGGGTTTGTTTTTTGGGTTTTGTGTTTTGCGAGGCCCTCCCAGGCCTGGGGGAGCAAGGCTTGGGGGAAGGAGCTCTGCCAGCTGCCGCAGAGGGCTGGGCTGGGATTTTCTTCCTTTCCGGCATGGAGCTGGGGTGAAGCAGGGACTGTGATGGTGATGTCCGTCCCCGGGTGCGTGGCGCACGCGGTGCTGGAGAGTCACTGGAAGCATGAGGCCACGCAGCCTTCCTCGGATCGGGCTTGGGAAGCAGCTCCCAAGAGATTCTGCCATTCCCTCGGGGCAGGAAGCCCGTGTGAAGGGAAGGGGTCGGTGTCAGCGTGTCCCCGTGTGCAGAACCAGCTTGGCGAAGGCCTTGGGCGATGACAGCTCAGTACCCGCCACTATTCTGCAAAGAAACCGTCTTCCCACCTTTAGTCACGGTGGAGACCTGCCTGCTTGCCGGCAGCAGTGACAAGTGGCCCAAATTCTGTTCCTTTTGTAGCATCCGTTTGCTGGTAGGTGCAAGGGGGAAGAATGAGCTCAGCTATTTCCCTCTGCCTGCTGGAGGATGGGGGTGGTTGGGTGTCTCTGCACCTCGACATGGTCAGGAGTGCAGAGATGCCAACAGTCCGGGAGCAGCTCTGGGACGGCCGCAGGGCTGGGGGGTTTTGCTGGCCCCAGGTGCTGGGTTGGCAGCAGACACCTGCCCCCAAGCTGTTGCTGGTACCTAAAGGTCCCCTAGATGCTGTTGTGGCAGCTGTGGAGCATTTTGGAGCTTCAAAATGGTGCCTTTTTCTCAGAAGGGGCATGGACTCGGGTAAAGGCTGAAGCTGCAGGGGCAGCAGGAGCGGAGGTGCTGCCGCAGCTGGGCCCCGGCCGTGTGGGCAAGGGGCCGGCAGGAGTCCCGGGCCACTCGTGCCACTCCTGGAGCCCTTTGCCTGGCCCTGGTCTCTGCTCCTCATCTGCCTCGAGCCAAGGCCGCGTGTATCAAAGGGGGTGAGAAGAGCCTTCCCTGGCATTAAAAAGGAGGCAAGGGAGTAATTGAGCCTGATGGGGGTATCCACCCCCTCCTCCTCTAGTACCACTGCTGTGTCCCTCGGGAGCAGCCAGGCCGCAGGGTGGGGTCTCAGCTCCATCCATGGGACTCGCCCCATCTACCTCAGCAGGAGCAGGGGCCCTGCTCGCTCCCCGCGAGCTTCTTGCCCAGCTGAGGCTGCCACTACTGATCCCGCTGCCGCCCGGGGCCCTGGCGCAGAGCCTCCTGCTGGCTCCGGGCACTGTCCGTGTGCAGCTGCAGGGGCTCCGGCCACTGCTCCTCAGGTGACCCACGGTGCAGCCTGAACTGTCCTCACTGGGGCCCAAGCGGTTCCGACTCCGGCCCTGGTGTTGGGGGACACCAAGGGTGTTGGTTATTTAAACTACAGCTGCAAGGCTGCTCTCTGCCTGCCCTTTCTTGAAGGCTTCCAGGGAGGGTGAAGCTCAACGGGCAGCAGCGGCTGTGTTAACCAAGGTGCAAGAGCAGCCATTGCTCCTGTTGCAGCAGTGCAAGTTGTAGGCCCCTTAGTGTCCCCTTCCCTTGCTGAAGCCGCAGGCGCAGAGAAGCTGCCCTTTCCACCTTCCACTCTCCTCGCTCTGGGCCGCGCGCGTTCCTGGCTCCTCTCTGGCTGCTGCTCCGCAGGCGGCGCAGGGCACCAGCGCAGGGTCCTGGTGTGGTTGGTGCCAGGGCTGTGGCTCTGGCCCCAGCACTCCAAGGGCTGCAGCCCCATTTCAGGGCTGGCTCCAGGGAGGCGGCAGGGCTCCTTGCAGGGCCCAGCCCCACAGCAAGGCAGGGGGGGAAGTTGGATAAGAGACAAAGCAAGCAGTTCTACATGGAGGGGTTGGGTGTGAGTGTCTCTGCTGAGGGAAAAGCTTCCTGATCCTTATGGAAACGCAGGGAGCTACATGCTGCGCTCTGCCCTGTTGGGCTTCACCCTGCGCTCCCTCGTCTAGGCTGAGAGGAGAGGGGGGTGCTTGCCTGTACTTTCTCCCTCAGACAAAAGCTGATCTGAATTTCAGCTCAGGTGCAAGGGCAACTGGTGGAGCACTCTGCAAGACCAAGAACGGGTCTGGCCCCATATTCCTCCCGTGCCAGTTAATTTCAAGAATGCAACACTTTTTTTTTTTTTTTTTCTTAAATCCATGTTTGAGATAGTTTCTTCCACCCCCTTCACCATAAGAACTGCTGTTCTGGTCACTGACATGTGAAGATCACTGCACTGTGTAACTGCTTGATACTCCATTTGTGACCTTCTGTTTGTAATGACTAATTTCTGCCCCTGCTGGGGGAAGCTCTGAAATAAAGTGCAACTATTCATGTGTGCTACATCTGTGCACCTCCTCATTTGTGTGCTACTCCTCTAGGGCCTCATCCCACTTCTGGAACAAGCTTTCCCTGTGCAGGGCCAGAGACCAGGGAGAGGTTATTCTGCTCCTCCTCCCTTTTTGCCCTCCCCAGAAACCAAGATTGCTGCTACTGATTTTCCTCCTTATTTTCCCACTCCTCCTCTTTCTTTGCAGCAAAGAGGAGGAGGCTGCAAGGGAAGTATCAAACCATAAGAAACACTTTATTTTAACTTTACAACGTATAAATAGACAAATCTGTGCTTTGCAACGTAGCTTTCCTTCCCCTCCCCTCTGCAGGGTCCTTGTCACAGTGGGCAGCAGTACCTCTGAGCGAGACGAGGGGGACCAGAGGGGCAGGGCAGCGGCCAGACCCCTATACACCCACGTATATACACATGTATAGTCGGCACACGCACAGCCCCACTGTCATCTGCTGAGGTCCCGGCTGGCACCGCGGCCACACAGCATCCTCTCCTCCGCAGAGAGCCCGGCAAAGAAGGGATGCAGGAGTGCCTCAGAGAACGTAATTCGGCGGCAAGGGTCGAATTCCAGCATGCTCCTCATCAAGTCGAAGAGCTGCGCGTGCTCCAGCGAATCGTGCAGCATGTACGTCTGAGGGAGAACATGGCACAGATGTAGCATGGCTATGGGGTAACGTCTTGGATCGCCTCCATCTGCTTCTCCCTCCCAAAGCAGGAAGGGCTCTGGGGCTGTAACTTTGCTGCTGAGCAAAACTACTAGTCCCCCACTCTTCAGGTCACCAACAGGAGGTGATGCGATGCTGCAGGAGATGCCACTTTGTAACAGCACGGTGAACTTACAAGCAAGACATTGGCCTGGGGAGGAGGCTGCACAGCAGTCTGCACGTCACCCTAAACCCGGAAGGGCAGCAGGGCTGTCACCTACCCCGCACAGAGGCACCTACCCGCAGGGGCTTGCAGTTCTCCTGGACGTATCTGCCGTCCGACGTGTTCTCGTCCCACACCAGGTTCCCATTGTGGAAGTATTTTTGTTTCCTAGGAGCAAGGGAGAGCATTCAGTAAGGCAGAAGGGCTAAGCCACAGAGGGAAAGCAGCAGCCTGCAGGACTCGCTGACGATGTCGCCCCAGCCTCTGCAGCGCAGCTCTGAGAAGGCATTTTTATCCAGTGCCAGAAATAAGCAAAAGAAATAGTTACTCAAGAAAGAAAAAGCCAAGTAAGACACCCTGTTCCTGAAGAATAAAACACTTCATCCATATGCTTTAGAGTGAGAAAGAGCCACAGAACAGGGAGTTGCTTCCATGATCCAGGGCGGCCGTGTGCAGATCAGATCCTCCACTTCCCTCATAAGGCAAATTACAGGCAGCTACTACACCAAAAAACAAAATAGTCCTGTTTGAGGAGGATAAAGAATTGCCTGAGATGGCTTCTCAGCAGTAGCTGCCCATCTCCACGTAATTGCAGCACCACAGCTCCCCTCAGGTTAAGCTTACAGGCTTAAACACTATAATCTCCGCAGTACATAAACTGCATTTCCCTTGAAGCCTGTGATCAGGCTCACAGAAGAGGGGAAAAATGAAAACAGAAGACACCATACACCCTCTGCTACTCTGCTACCATGAAGTCTCTCCAGGGTTATAACCACATTGCTAAGACGTGTACGTGGACAGAGTGTTGCTATTCTGACTAATCCACCAGTCCAGGCAGCTGATTGGACCATCACAGTTCAGGAAGGTTCTTACCGGGTTTTGTGAATCATGTGCGATGGAATCGGCCCAAGGATTTTTTCCATCATGACAAGATGCTCACGATTCTCATGGGTCTGCAAAAGCAAAGAGCAAAGGTGCATTACTTAAGAACGTGGAGATCTGACAACAAAAAGTTTGTAATGGTACAAGTGTAGGGTGAAATCGGATGAGCTTCAGCCAGGAATGATGCAGGTCTCTTCCAACTTCATCTTCTCTTTGGATTTTTTCAATTTCACAGGTACAGGGCAAAAAACAAAATGACCTGGATCTTGTCCTTTCACTAAGTCAGGAGTCCCCAGTCTACCGGATTTCCTGTGCTTAATTCAGTCTGTAGAAAATCAGACCCTGATTTTCAGTGCCTGGTCTGCATTTCCCTTCCCTCCAACTAAGAGTTGGATGTTTTAGATATTAAAACTTCTTAGGACAGTCGAAGGGTGCAAAGCTTTATGCAGGAGTCATACCTGGACGAGCGTGAAACCACGGTAATACTCAAACAAAATGCAGCCGGTGCTCCAGACATCACAGGGCTGTGCCCAGCCCAGCTCTGCAAAGAAAACAAAGTTTTAAGCTCCCAACAAATCCCACCAGATTTCTCCTCTTCTAGTTTTAGGACTGCAAGGACTGGAGGAAGACATGGGTGGAAGTTGTTGGTTCGTTTTGCAGGGCGTTGCGGTGACATGTGGTGCCCATGGGGCCCCCTTGGGGCCCATTTGAGCATTTCATGAGTTTCACCAGCATTTCCTAGCCCTCAGCACTCCCCGTGAAGGGCATATATTATCCATGGATAATTTTCATGCAATCAGCATATTCCCAGGCCCGCTGTTCTCCTCCATCGGCCTAAAATGCCCCAGATCCTGGCACTACTCACCCAGGATGACTTCTGGCGGACGGTAGTGCCGGGTGGCAACAATAGTGGTGTGGTGCTCGTGATCAAACGTGGCACTTCCAAAGTCTGCCACACGGATGCTCGTGTTCCTTATGGATTTCTCCTCACAGCTCTGCAAAGCAACAAGTAGTGCTGAGTGCTTCTGAAAACTGGTTCGGGTTTAAGGTAGGCTTTGAGAACAGCCCCAGAGCTGCCATGTCTGCATTAATGCATATCTGCATTAGTCATCAGAAGTACTAGACCTGTGAAACTTTGAGCTCTCTGCATCTCTGAGCAGCATTAAGGAAAGCACCATAAAAAGCCACTTTATGGACCTGAACCTTAGAGCTACCAAAGGACACGAGAAAAGACCCAGCTTCTAGTCTGGCCTAACTAAACAGACCACTGATGCGCCTTAGGGCATGTCCAGAGATCCAGTTTGTGCCAGGAGAAAGAGGGAGGCTATTCCTGGACTACTCACCTCTTTCACACACAACTCACCTTTTTCTCGTTGTACAACGTGTCAAAATCCGAGTTGACAAACAAGATGTTTTCTGGCTTGAGGTCAGTGTGAGTCAGCTGGTTGTCATGTAAAACTGCACAGGTCGGGAGGAGAAAAAGCTTTATAAGAAAAACACACCCCAAACTATCTGTACAGTTCTGCCCAGTGAGCCAAGCAAAGCTCCCTCAGCCCTCTGCCAAACCAGCTCCTTCCACACCAGCCTGGTGAGCACCTCCTTGCCTAGCTAGGTATTTCTGACAGGCACAAGGCACCTTTTGCAAAGGAGAGGTTACAGGTCTTCCTTCCACTCCTTTCAGAAGAAAAAGGAAGAAGTCGGTCTAGAGTCTGCTGCTCCAGAACCCCTCCCTGATCTACCCTCCACAGACACCAGCATCTCGCTACTTTTTTCAGTAAGCTTCACACAAGGGTTAAAAAATGGCTGGAAGCTTCAGCTGCCATTAATGCCCGTGCGTGAAAAGCAGGTACTGAAGACCAGAGAGCTGTGGGGAAGCCAGGCAGCCAGCCCTGGGTGACTTACATCTCAAGGCATGGCAGAGCTGGTAGGCCATGTGCCGAATCTGAGGGAGAGGGTATGGCTGGAAGTTGTTCTCCTTCAGGAACTCGAAGGTGTTCTTGCCCAGGAGCTCGAAGGCAATGCACATGTGGCCGTGGAAGTTGAACCAGTCCGACATGAGGACGCACAAGCTGCAGAGAGACACGTGAGGATTAAGCAGGCGCTCACAGAGCAGCCGCTTCCTCAGCCCTTGCCTATTTCAGAGGTGGGCAGTGAGCACGTGCTCCGCGAGACCTCCCCCAGCTCAAACACCTTCCCATACAGATCTCAAACTCAACGAAACAAGGCAGCAAGCTCTCCTCAGAAGAGGACCTGGGTTAACTTACGCTTCCTGTGAACTGTTGTGATAGCAGCTACCGTTATACATGCAAATGCTCAGCAGGATATCCAAAGGCAAAAGCCAGCTCTACATGAGGCCTATGTCTAGAAGGCAGCACTTACCACCTTGAAGCCCTGGAAGAACTTACAATTTGTTCTCCTTGTCCTTCTCTTTGATCTTCTTCAGGACGTTGATCTCTAGCCTGGCTGCTTCGCGGTACTTCCCAACGTTTTTTATGATTTTCAGTGCCACCTGAGATTTGCCTCTGTCGGGAAAGAGACAGGCTGAAGTGCATTAAAAAGCTGAGATCACATCCACAGATGCATCCTCACTGCACTGAGCATGCACGCCCTGAAGAACATGACTGGAGTAACTGGGACTCCAAGAACTGCAGTAACACAGTCCCACTGACTTCCTTTAGGTAATGCCACCCCCTGCAGGGGCCATTCTGAGAGGCCTCTGAGCAAGCACATGGCAACCACTGACTGTGATTAGTGAGAAACGGCATCGGGCAGAGGGAGGAGGAAATGCTCAGCAAGCTTGGGATGAGAATATGATAGTATTTGTGTGCGAAGAAAAAAGTAGACACGCATAACAGCACATAACAGCTGGGAAGACTGGATGTTCCAAACCTTGTCCAGGAGTTAAATACTGAAACTGAAATTTGAAGTGAAAGACCACTATTGCTCGTATCATTCCAAGGAGAGCTGCGAAAAGCCCTGCAAATGCATCATGTCCTGACACAGCAGCTGATAAGGTCACTGTGACTCCAGCGGACACCTCCTTTCTCCAACTGTGTCCAAGAAATTTCTGAAGAGGCAGAAGGATCCTGCACTAGGCTTATCCCGTGGCTCGGGGCCAGACAGAAGGTTAGGAAGAGAAGAGGGTCAAGTGTAATCACAGGAGATGAGAAAAGAATAATAAATAGTACTCTGGCAAGTTAAGAGGTCACTTTCCTCAGCTGACTGTCCCAGGCCCCTGCCAAAATTCACTGCTCTACTGCAGGGCAGCAGAACAGCCTCGCTTGGATTAATGTCTCAGTTTGCAAGCCTGCATGGCTGAGCTTTGAATAAGGCCCCTCTGTGCTTGCTAAGAGGAGTGACTCCTGCCACGGTGACGAGTGGCAGGTGACTGCGCTCGAGCCCAGTGGAGTCCCAGGCCCCCCGGAGCTGGCAGTGTCACCACCACGCTCGGGAGCGGCTGAGCTCGTTCCAGGGAGCGGGAGGTGCCTACCTGGCATGGTCCACACACTCCACGACTTTGCCAAAAGTGCCTTCCCCAAGGCTGCCGACGATTTCATCTAGGAGAGAGAACACGCGCGGGTGTGAACCTGGAGGCCTGGTGAGGGCTGCGCTCCTGCCCTTGCACAGCAACAAAACGCCAAAAACGAAAAAACTGCCTCTCTGCTACGCTCTTTAAAACTCAAGTGTCTATTGTCTGCCTGAGACAAAATTATCGGTCAGTCCATTTATAAGCAATAAACACTAGAGACCCCTCCAGGACACAAAATAAAGAGTGAGATCTCGTCTAACACGGGGATAGGAAGTAGAGAGGTAAAGTTTTACGAAAGGTGGCTGTACATCGCTCTTGGAGCCAATCGCCGGTCCTGCACACCAGGTGGCCTTCCTTGTCATCCTCCACGCTCCTGCTGCGCTTACTGCTCTGCGGGCTCCGCTGCACGCGCCGCCCCCCGAGACGGCATGTGGGCGAGCGCGCACCGCGGCGGATCCGAGGGCGCGCGGGGCGGGTCGGTCAGAGGTGGAGGCGATGGTGCGTCCGTGGTTGGGTTTTCCAGATGCCAGCATTTCATAAGGCACACAGCATATATAACGATAGGGATATTGCAAGGGACACGTCAAGACACAAACTAGCTTCAAAACAGAAAAGTAATCAACAGCTACAGGTACGTAAAGAAACTCTCTCATTAGCTACAGGGTGTGATGCAGCAGGAAAACGCCCCCCTCTTCTCTGCAGGGAAGCAGCAGCTGGGAAGCTCCAGGCACTGGTTTGGCACCAAGATTCCCCACGGGATTTGCCACTGAGGAGCAGCTTCCTCCACAGCACCAGAGGGTGCTAGCAGAGGAATGAGGTGGAGGAAGAGCACGAGCTTTGCCAGAAGGAGGTCATTCTCTCCGCTGGCAAACGTGACGATGGGCATAGAGGCTCTAAGTTCGGCCGAGCTGTCCAGTAGAAGCCAGAGGAGCAGGTCTCCCAACGCGGAGGCTGCTCTCCTGAACCTCAGTTAATGGGTCACCAACTACACAGGGACGTTTCCTGCCCCCTCCCTTCCTCACAGGACCAAGGAGGCTGATGCTGCCTCTGCGAGCCCGCCTGGATGCAGACAGACCTTGCAGCATTGCACATCTTGCTCGGGATGCAAATTTAAGCCTGGAAGAACTTTCGGAGCAGGGCAGTGTTTCACCTACATCTTCCAGTGTCCGCTGGAGGCAGGAGGTCACCTTCACCCCTGCGACCACCAGCTTCTACTGGAAAACCAGCTGAACGTTCCCAGGAGGATGCAACGGGCCACAAAGCAAACGGCCCGAAACCTGAGCTGTTCTGCTTACCCCTAAAACAAAGTTACAGCCTCTGCAGCCAAAGGAACGCTAACGAGGCTCTGCACTGCTACACCTGAGCGTCTATCCAGCTCCTATAGTGCACCCCGCACCCCCCTGCCCGTCCAAAATAGGGAGCAACCAAAACACCCTGACAGGTTGGCTGAAATGGAGAAGGTAGAAAGAACAGCTGAGAGCTGGGAGACCTTGAAGGGTTTAGATCGCGCCAGCCAAAGCCTGCACGCTGTATCGGCACATGCACACGCACCGTTGGAGGGTTTTAATCACAACCTTGCCCTTTTCTCAACTGGAAAAGTCAACCAGAAAGATAAAATGAGGAAAGCAACAGGCCATTGGAAGTTCCAAGCCATGCAGCTATGCAGTATAACTGCAGGGGTCAGGACTTGGTTGCGATAACATCTGAAAATAAGGAGTTGTGAACAGCAGAAACGCTCCTTACTGCAGGGAGAGCAGCAGCGCAGCAGAGACTTTTGCTCTGGTACCTCACACCACTGCCAGGGCATGCCAGGTTCTGGGACAAGACTCCCCACCCACCACTGAATATCCCTGTTAATCCTTCAAACATCTAAGGCAAGAGATAACGTGTTGCATTATAATTAGAGGGGAAAACACTGAAGTTTTCAAAGAAGTTGAAATGCGAGGGCACTCGTGTGACAGTAGGCAGAGAGCACGTGCGTATTTTCAGAGGTGAAAGCCTCTAAATACTGTGGGACAAGAGTTAATAACCACGTGGCTAACGACTCAGCACAGCAAGCCTTGATACAGCTGACAGATCCCGTATGGCCCAGGATCCCGGCCTCCGCAGGAGCGTTTTGCACTATGTCCCCAAACCCCTAAAGCAGCATCGAAGGGTGGAAGCGAAACCCTCGTCACGTATAAACCTTCCACGTACAGACGCTTCCATCCCAGCGAGATTCAGGACCACACAAGCCACGTAATCAAACACAAAAATGGGATTGGAGGTACTCACCCAGGGCGCTCTGAGCTGGAAGGAGGTAAAAGAGCAGTTAAGGCCCTGCGCAATCCCGAGCTCGTTGCGGATGCTACTCACCGAGGAGGCGCTGCTACAAGACCTGGTCCTGCGCTTGCGGCAGCGGTGCTGGTGCTGCCCCGCGCGGCGCTGCCCCCGGCCCCGCCACCGCCGCCAGCACAGCGCGCGGCTCCCCTCCGCCTCCTCTCCACCCCCCCCCCGAAAGGCGGTGGGCGGCGCGGCCCCGCCTGTCTCGGTACCGCCGGTGGTAGGGCAGCCTGTCACGGCTGTGGGGCAAAGAAACGTGCTTTTGGAAATGGGAGAATGGGAAAGGCGGCTACAGTGAGCACCGAGCTCCTCCTCATGCTGACGAGGAGGAGAAAGTCACGTAAAAGAATCCACGGGACATTCCCTGTTTCAGGAAGCCAGAGGAAAACCGCTCACAGACTCAGAGCTAGATTTGAGCCACTGCCTTTTCAGAGCCACCTCCACCCTGACATGCAGGTATTTTTCTGCCCGCAGGAAGGAGGTTCATTAGTTTTTCCACAGGTGAGAACAGAAGGCAGCAGGAGGGCACTTGGCACCACCCCGGTGGGGATCAGCATCCCCTAAACACCACGGGTTCTGGCACAACAACTCCATAGATCATTAGCAAAAGCCACACGGAAAGTCTGGCTAAACCACTGCCTCGGATAACACGCTGGGGCCGCAAAGCAGCCCTTGCTCAGCAGCCACCAGCAGTCTCAGGCAGTTTTGGGCACTGTGTGTGCATTAACCCAAGAGCAGAGACCGCTCCTCTGCGCTCGGCTGGGCAGCAGCAGCTGGAGGTCTGAACTATGCCAGAAAAATGAAGTGAAAAGCGCGCAGTTTTACCCCACCACTGATATTCCCCCAGAAAAGCACCTTTGTGAGATCCCGCTGGGAGCTTTCAAGACAATTCAGGAACAGCGGAGAATCCAAAAGGTTCAAATTCCAGGGCCATCATCAACCCGGCAGGAGCCTGAGCCCAAAGGGGCAGAATGGCTTTTGCCCAGCAAAGGGTGTGTTTCACCTAAACCTTCTCTACACAACCCACGAGGGGCACTGCGTGGGGCGGCAGGATCCCACGGGGCGCTCCTTCCACGGGAACGAAACCCAGATCCAAGCAGCAGTTAAACCACGGAGCAAATCGGGAATCCAAGGCTTACTCCCCAGCCGGAGCCGCGGCACGAGGGAAGCCCGCGGGACGGCC